TTGAATTATATCACTAGCAAGAACAAAAGTCCCGAGAAAGACATTTTTCAGAGATAAATCGCAACTAAATCAGTTCAAGAAATGGTAAAGATTTTGCTGACTACTTTAAAACTGTGTTTCAGTCGTAAAATGTTAATAAAATTTTTGATATCATAAAATACTTCATTGTCATCAAAATGCTGCGGTGTTTGTAATCTAATAAATTCTATAATAATCGAATGTGGGGAAGCTTTTTAACTAGATTCGTTTGTAATTACTATTTGTGATATAAGAAAAGCTTACGAGAAATCGAAACCCAATTTTACTAATGGATATCATGAATTACCTTCGGTTTTAATAAAATTAGAAGCTATTGGTTTGGAGATGCTCTTTGCTTGATCTTCAAACTTATCACTCAAAGACGTTGAGTTTCTCTAGAAAAGTGGAAATCGTGAATTTGACGGAAAAACTACCCTACAGTTAGGCACCTAAAGGCTAATCGCTTCGATGTGAGGGTCAAGTGCATCACTTTTAAACGATCACTATCCACACATTTCTTTTTTAATGGAGCATCTAATGAACATCGAAACGAAGTTGCAAGTATAACTAAGCATTTAATGTTGAATTTTAAAATTCAAAAGCTCTTTACTCGTGAAATTTCAGAATCATTGTAAAGAATTAAAAATGTATTTTGACTTTCCAATGTAAGCTAAATGTGGCATTTCTTTTCCGAATAGTTCCCTACCTAAAACGAAAACTTAAAATCTGTCGGTTTTCATGTAAATCTGGCTTCAGATACGCTCGTTCAACCCTCGCTGCCTCATTTTTCCACTTCGTTTTCCATGTATTATAACGTGTAGAGATGAAATAAGATTATAATCAAAGTTTATATAAGTCAATTAAATTATTAATTTATTATTAAAAGTGAAATTACTATAGGATTTACAATTATTCTTTTTTATTTTTACAATCATTATTTTAAACAATTTAAGAATAATACTTAGAGTCACCTTGATTTAACTTAATAAAATAGGTACCGCGTCAATTCGTCGTGCACAATTCGTCGCGCGACAATTGATCGCAAACAACTGATCGCAGTGTCAATTGGTCGCAGCGACAACTGGTCGCAACGACAACTGGTCGCAGTCACAATTGATCGCAACACAATTCGTCGCAAGTACAACTGGTCGCATGCGACAATTGATCGCAGGCGAAAAATGATAGCGTTTATAGAGAAATAAGTAATTGTAATGAATGAGGAAAATAAATTAATGTGCTATATTCTCAAAAATTTCATTATTTCTAAAAAAAGTGTCAAAATAAATACATACGAGTTCCATAAAAACGGTAACTATTAGGCTCATTTCCGACTAAACCAAAGTGCAAAAAAGTGAAAATATTGTAAAATATTTTTTTTAATGCTGACACATCTCGTCGGTATGCTACTGTAATGTTCATTTGGATTATTCGTCTTATTGATTAGACGCTCAAGTAAGTGATTCAAGCTTTTCTTCTCACAAGTTTAAAGTTTGTCAATTAAACGAGTGAAAAAAATAGCTTTCAAAACGTGTTAGACGTCATTTTTCTTTAATAAAAAATGGTTTTAAAATTATTACAACTGTCAAATTAAAAAGTTATAGATAAATCGTGAAAAAACTCTCGTTACAGTTTTAAGTGAAAAAATATTATTTTCATTACGTTTGATAGTTTAAAAAATTAAATATATATATTTTTTAATAAATTTGGTGCAAAGAAATTTGAATTTATGTATTAACAATTAATTTTGGAGTTTAAAACGATGCCAAATGTAGTGTTTCTATGTAACGGCTGAATAAAGTTATTATTATTGCATTCTTTGCAGACAATTTTTTGCTCACTACAAATTAGTTCTGGATTATCTTTAATCCATGATAAAACCAAAGATGTTTTTTCATTCAGAACTTTTTTGAACGCTCACACTGTTAATAAGGCGCTTGTAGATACGACAAAATGAATAATTTATCTCGTTCCCTTTGCTAAGTACCTACATACCAATCTCCACTTTTACGCCATTTCTGTAAACAAGATCGTAAAAAGATTAGTTTTGACCATGGAGCAAAGGAATATACTCATACTGGAGGAAGTGCCAGACTTAAAATGATGGTTTCGAGCCAAACCGGTAAAGTGTCATAAACAGTACCCCTCATTACCCAGATAAGACTGCCGATGACAGTGACGTAGTTTTTTTTTTTTTGATGCGGCTCATGGAATAAAATTTGTTGAATAAAACAACGCACATAACAGATTTATATTCTCTATTAATTAATATTATTTAAAATATTTAAATCAATCAACACATCACGAGTAACAAGTAATACAAACAGTGAATACCGTTAAAAAGTACAAACAACCAGGATGACGACGCCACTGAGTAGTGGTTATTCGCAATGGCGTGACTAATTTTTAGCTTGGGAAGTTTGAAAAGTTTTCACTCGGAAGGCCGACTATTCACTCAGAATTATTTGCCAAATCTGCCGGATGTAGGTGGGCTTCTCCAGCCCATGTTGTAAATTTTTGTAGGATGCAAAGTGCGGAGAAGAATAAAATCAGGTAGCAGCCCGTAGTAGGGTCATTCATGGAAAACTGCGAACCAATTATTTCTTCCTTTTTTTAGATCTGAGAGCTGTTTTACACGTCACAGAAATATCTATCGTAAAAGGAATTTTTAGAAATAATTTTCTCGTCATTAATCGGTTGCAAAAGATCAAGAGGCACTCGAAGCAAGCCCTGACAAACTTATTAGCGGCGCCAGCGGAGATCTCCAATTGGCCGCGGTACCACCATGGACACTCGCGTAACCTCCTTTTCCAGAATTGTCAAAATGACATTGCCAAACTCAAAGCAATCATGAATTAAGCATTTCATTTTAAATTCAGTTAGTATCAAGTGGTACATGGTATTCGTATTTTGGGTTGCGTAAAAATAATTTTCAGAAATAATTTTCTCGTGACTAACCCTGTATATGTATTTTTTACACCCACATATGGTACAACTGAATTTTTCTTCAGTACAATACTAGTCACATAATAATAATTAAAAAATTAGTTTTTAGTTGCATAAGTACCTACATTTCTTAGATTTCCCGGTAACACAAAATTATTCTTTACGCTCTAACAAAAGTTTTTGCAATATATATTTACAATACACGTAAACCTTTCTCAAACCCTGTAAAAGATCCGTTGCAATTTACAAGGGATTAAAATAAGTATTATATCCGTCCAGTGGAATTTATATTCGCTGCATATGGATACTCTAGATGTACTATTAGTTCATAAATTTTATTGTTTGGTGATATGTATAAAGACAAGAATAGACAATAGAGGCAATTCTGTATCAAAATGTGTTAAAATTTAAAGGTTGTTAAAAATATGATTTTTTAAATAACTGTAATCTAGTTAAGAACAATAAACACTTGTTTTTATGTTGAGTACTTATTATAATGAAGCTAGTTCCTATAATATAATAGGTAAAATAAGCAACAAGATAAATAGAAACAATCTCTTAAAAAAAATAACCAAAATGACAATTTATTAATAAAAAATCTTATGTAACAAGGTATTTACGCTCGTATTTTTTAATTTTTAAAGTGCAACTACAAACTTCGTCACTTATCTATATTCAAATTGTTTTTAATTCGATATTTACACCTTACCTGGTTGCTAAATTTATTCCAACTTAAAATTCAGAATACAAAATATTTAGTTTTAATAAAAGAAAATACTTCCCGATGAATTTTACCTTGCGATCAATTGACGCTGCGATAAATTTACGTACGATCTATTGTCGCTGCGATCAATTTACGTGCAATCAATTGTCGCTGCGATCAATTGTCGCCGCGATCAATTGTCGCGTGCGACCAATTGTGCTGCGACGAGTTGCTTGCGATCAATTGTCGCGCGATCAATTGTTTGCGACCAGTTGTCGTAGAATCAATAAAATAACCATACATTTTTAAATTTACAAAAAAATATTACGTAACAAAATTTTCACTTTAAAATAATCGGTACAGTCCAGATCGTTACATAATGGGTATGTCGACGAAAACGATTTTAATTTTTTTTTAGAGTATATGTACTAAATTCGCATATTGATTAAAGTAAATACACCTTAGTTTATTTAACTAAATAAATGAAAGAGTTTTTAATATTCCACTGGCGTTTGTTTTAGCTTCCACCATGGCTTAGGCAATAATTGGTTTCTTTTGGATTTTGGTTCGTAATTAAAGTAAAAAAGTAAACATTATTTGATCATACAAACATTATTTTATTATTATAACCTCTATACGATAAATAAGGTCGGATTATTAAGAAGCATATAACGCTGAATGTTCCAAAATTCCAGAGTAATCGATCCACTAATTTTGGAGACTATGTGTCTCGTAAAACCGGCAACAGACAGGTGACAGACAGATCGACAAACAACAGATAGACACACGACACACAGACAGCAACGGGAGACCGATATTTTAACGTTACACAAGGCACAGAACATCAAGAAAACACGAAATTCGCCAGTAGGATCGTACGTCAAGCAATATAATTTTTTACGTACCGTTAGCAACAGCTAATTATATCTTCATTATCTTCTACCCGTAATTACCAAATCTACTTGCTGTACACATGCGTACTTTTGAAGTGCAAATTGTATTACAATCTGTTTCTAAAACAGAACGCATCCTACACCATATCAAAGTCAACTACAAAATTAAATTAATTCCCTACAACAGCAATATTCCCCACCAAGATTAAATCTCACAGCTGCTTGTTCATTCCTGGCATAGCAAAGCCCGTAATCTTTTATGATTATGGACGAAGTAAAAAAATTGTTTTTATTAGTGTCATTTATTGCCAGCTTTTGCTCCGTCGTCGATAGAAATATGGTGGAGGTGCCGGTTCTAATCTGTTAGAAGCAAACTGCAATTTCTCAAAGCGATTGAAGATAAATGTGCACTTTAAAAATAACACTTTGTTTTTTTTTTGCAGGATAAGCATTATCTCTGCGTGATGGCTTCCGATTCGCCGGATCAAAACTTGACCCAATATTTTTCGCTGTGCAACGATTTTATCCACGCTGCGCGGCTTCGTGAAGGCAACGTTTTAATACATTGGTAAGTATCAATAGGTGTATTGTGCGGTCCCTGATGGTATTACTTTTTCACCTTGTTCCTAACCGAAAAGAACGGTCTGGCGGGTTTTTATACCGATCGATATTTACAAGGGGGGAGAAAGCTGAAAGATTTCACGTTCTTCGATTCCTAACATAACAAACCGGATGATAATAATCCGAAGCCGAACCCCTGAATTTGGGCGTAATTCAATTTTAGCATTTTTGGGAGTGCACGTTCGAAATTGGAATGCACAAGAAAATAACACTTAAATTAGTTTACATTGAGTCTTTCAATCATTGCTATTTGGAAACTATAACTGTTATCTCTATTGACAAACTTTTTTACGAGTCCTAGATAAAGTTATAACAACTGAAACTACTAAAAAATACAATAACAAAAGAATCATTCTAACAGAGATCTCAGTGTTAGATTTCGTAACAGTATCTTTACAAATATACAAAGTTGTTAGAATGTTATTTTTGATCAGTAGTATCGGATCACAGGGGTATTTGTTTCATATCCATTGAATGTGGGAAATTTAGTAACTACGATATATCTACAGTGAGATGATAAAATTTCGCACAAAACTGATAATTCCGATAATAATAATAACGTTCTCTTGAAAAATCCTGGAACAAGTCAATTTTATTTTTTAAAATGACACTTTTTGACGTACAATTTTTTTGTAACTAGCGTTTTTGTACAATGACGTCATCAACGATTTTTTTAAATAGGAATTTTTTCATCGGATTCTGATAATTTTAATACAAGTTTGAAATCCCTCATTTGTTTCCAATGTAAATCGACTTTTTTGTTTTTCCAGCTTCAATAGGATTTTTCCTCCAAAAAATGCTTAGTATATTAGGTACCAACTTTTTTCTATGGCCATTTATCTAATAAGAAGTTCAGATTATGTAAGAAAATGTTGGTTATTAATGACGTCACTGTGTAAAAAAGTGTCATTTTAAAAAATTAAGTTCACCTGTCGAAGGATTTTTAAAAACACTCTGTATATACAAAAGAAAATGAACCTATCAGGACTGATATAGAAAAAAAACATTTACTGTTGCTTCATACATAATAAATTAATACTGAAATAACTTGTAAAAAAAATTCTTAATATTTGTTAACATAGCTTTATCAAGGCGTTTCTAATTTGCAGACCACAGTTTATCTTGCAGACTGGGGGTTAAAAATGCTCCAATCAAGTTGAAACTCAACAGTTGCTTATTTCTCAATACGAAGATTATTGACACAAAATTTCAACCCGATCGGAGAAACCGTTAAAAACTACCCCCAAAACAACCTTGCAGACTGGCACTTAAAAATACTCTAATCAAGTTAAATTTTGACATTCGCTAGTTTTTCAATACCAGGATTATTGATGCAAAATTTCAGCCCATTCCGAGAAACCCTCAAAAATCACCCCCAAAACAACCTTGCAGACTGGGGGTTAAAAATGCTCCAATCAAGTTAAAACTCGATATTTGCTTATTTCTCAATACGAAGATTGTTGATACAAAATTTCAAGCCGTTCGGAGAAACCCTTAACAACCACCCTTAAAACAGATTTGCAGACTGGGGGTTAAAAATGCTTCAATCAAGTTAAAACTCGATATTTGCTTATTTCTTAATACGAAGATTGTTAATACAAAATTTCAACCCGTTCGGAGAAACCGTTACAAACTACCCCTAAAACAACCTTGCAGACTAGGGCTTAAAAATACTCTAATCAATTCAAAATTCGACATTCGCTAGTTTTTCAATACGAGGATTATTGATGCAAAATTTCACCCCATTCGGAGAAACCCTCAAAAATCATCCCCAAAACAACCTTGCAGACTGGGGGTAAAAAATGCTTCAATCAAATCAAAACTCGATATTTGCTTATTTCTCAATACGAAGATTATTGACACAAAATTTCAACCCGTTCGGAGAAACCGTTAAAAACTACCCCCAAAACAACCTTGCAGACTGGGGCTTAAAAATACTCTGATCAAGTTAAACTTTGACAATCCCTAGTTTTTCAATACGAGGATTATTGATGCAAAAATTTCAGCCCATTCGGAGAAACCCTCAAAAATCACCCCTAAAACAACCTTGCAGACTGGGGGTTAAAAATGCTCCGATCTAGTTAAAACTCGATATTTGCTTATTTCTCAATACGAAGATTGTTAATACAAAATTTCAACCTGTTCGGAGAAACCGTTAAAAACTACCCCTAAAACAACCTTGCAGACTAGGCCTTAAAAATACTCTAATCAAGTCAAAATTTGACATTAATTTATTTTTTTATTATTTTATTGTTAATTATTATTAATTAATTTATTTATATTTAAATTTAAAAAATATATAAATTACGAATACATATAGGAGTATTTGTTACAGATACGTGAATTGTGATAATTTGAGTTCATGTTTATCGCTGTTAGATAATTGTTGCTACTATGTAAGAATGCGTAAGTTGGGCATTTTTTCGTCCAATCTCTCATTTTTTGTGCGTTTTTACACGTCATTTTTGCTGTTAACTTGGTTCATTCAGTACATACTATATGCTGGTTTTGAGTTCTTTGAGATATAATTAAACTTTCATCATCAGTCAAAAAATACAAAGTTAGTGGTGTCCAAAAGAGAAAATTTAAAATTTAGAGGAAACAAAATCTTAAAAGATATTTTAAAGAAAATTAGAGACATTTTTAATTTCCGAGAAATCTAACGTAAAAAAAAACGTTTTGAGAAAAAATTTAAATTAATAATAGGAAGCTCAAACTTAATTTTATTTGAATTTCAAAAAGAACCCAGAAATATGCTAATTTCTTAATTAATTATTATTAATGGGAAAACAAATAAAGATTCGTTATATTCAATACGACGCAAAATTGTCTTCATATGTAGGTCTTACAGCCTTTGGATGGTGTCCACGTCCATTTGTCTAACTGTCTGGTAAATTGTTCTTTTTAATTGTTCTTCTAAATTGGCTTCCCAGCCGTTGTTGTAAACTTTTCTACTTAGTATTCCCCAAATTTTGTTTTCGATTGTTCGCACTGGGGGCACTATGGGGGGATTACCTTTTCTTAGGTACAAATACAAAACTTATATTATTGCTTTCTAACCAATCCCTGGACATTCTAGTATAATGGCAACTTGCTAAATTTGGCCAAATATTACATCGTCGTTATTATGGTGTTCCCATATATTGTTATGTATTGACCGCGTCACCTTTAGTACGGCCAATGAATTGTGCTGAAACGCCGGCCGGAGATATAGCCCATCAAACCAAAATTTTATCATCAAATTTCGCCTTCGACTTAAATTTTACTTTTAATTTCTTCTATATTGTTTGTATAAAATCCATCGTTACCTTCGATGATACTTAGGTGATTAATTATTGTAGGAATTAGCTCGGTTTGCGCAAAGGTGGAGATAACACAACGACCGTAGCAACGAATCTTAACCAATTAAAAACTCAAGTAAATTTGCTGCTGCTGCTTTTATATGCTTTCTTATGAAATTATTTTTGTTTTATGCCTAGTATCCCGCAAACGCTTTCGAGCACGCCACTGGAACAACCAGTTTCTCGGAGGACCTGGAAGAACCATTTATGACCCTAGTAGGCGGTACCAGGCTTCAATCAATCTTCCCTCCTCTCATTCTATCTCTATGGTGCGCACCTACTTTAGACATAATGTACTGTCTCTTTATATGTGTCTGAAATTTTTCTGCTACTTGTACTTTAAATGAATGTCAACTATCAATCATTTTTATAAGTTGCTTCAAGGTGACTAAAATTTGACATGATAATTTTTTTGTGTAAAGAACTCAGCAAGTGGTAACTTTCGACTCAGTTGGAGTATTTTTAAGCTTCCGTATGAAAGATTGCTTTGGGGAACTTGTTAAGAGCAGCTTAAAAAAGACTGTTTTTTGCATTATCACTTCGCGTATAGATAAAAACTAAACACCAAGTTTCGATTTGGTAATAATATTTTTAAGGCCCAGTCTTCAAGGTTGTTTTGGGGGTAGCTTTTAACGGTTTCTCCAAACGGGTTGAAAATTTGCATCAACAATCTTCGTATTGAGAAATAAGCAAATCTCGAGTTTTGACTTGATTGAAGTATTTTTTACTCCCAGTCTGCAAGTCTGTCTGGGGGTAGTTTTTAAGGGTCTTTGCGAACGGGTTAAAATTTTGTGCCAACAATCTTCGTATTGAGAAATAAGCAAATGTCGAGTTTTGACTTGATTGGAGTATTTTTAATCCCCAGCCTGCAAGGTTGTTTTGGGGGTGATTCTTGAGGGTTTCTTCAAATAGGCTGAGATTTCGTATCGATAATCCCCATATTGATAAACTAGCGAATATAAAATTTTGACTTGATTGGAGCATTTTTAATCCCCAGTCTGCAAGGTTGTTTTGGGGGTAATTTTTGAGCGCTTTTTCGAATAGGCTGAAATTTTGTATCAACAATCTTCGTATTGACAAATTAAGAAATATCGAGTTCTGACTTGATTAGAGCATTTTTAACCCCCAGTCTGCAAGGTTGTTTTGGGGATGATTTTTAAGGGTTTCTCCGAACGGCTTGAAATTTTGTATCAACAATCTTTGTATTGAGAAATAAGCGACTGTCGAGTTTTGCTTTGATTGAAGCATTTTTAATCCCCAGTCTGCAAGGTTGTTTTGGGGGCGAGTTTTACGGGTTTCTTTGAATAGGCTGAAATTTTTGTACCGATAATCCTCGTATTGAAAAACTAGCGACTGTTAAATTTTGACTTGATTAGAGTATTTTTAAGCCCCAGTCTGCAAGCTTGTTGTGGGGGTAGTTTTTAACGATTTTTCCGAACGGGTTGAAATTTTGTATCAACAATATTCGTATTGAGAAATTAAGAAATATCGAGTTTTGACTTGATTGGAGCATTTTTAACCCCCAGTCTGCAAGGTTGTTTTGGGGGTGATTTTTAAGGGTTTCTCCGAACGGCTTGAAATTTTGTATCAACAATCTTTGTATTGAGAAATAAGCGACTGTCGAGTTTTGACTTGATGGAAGTATTTTTAATCCCCAGTCTGCAAGGTTGTTTTGGGGGTGATTTTTGAGGGTTTTTTCGAATAGGCTGAAATTTTGTATCGATAATCCTCGTATTGAAAAACTAGCGAATATCAAATTTTGACTTGATTGGAGTATTTTTAAGCCCCAGTCTGCAAGGTTATTTTGGGGGTGGTTTTTAAGGGTTTCTCCGAACGGGTTGAAATTATGTACCAACAATCTTCGTATTGGGAAATAAGCAAATGTCGAGTTTCGACTTGATTGCAGCATTTTTAACCCCCAGTCTGCAAGATAAACTGTGGTCTGCAAATTAGACAGGCCCGCTTTATCAGCTATAATTTTGATATCATGATAAAATGAAACAAGTACCCTATACATTGTAACTATTTTTTTAATTTAAGTAATTCAGTTAAAATATCTAAAAAAATATTTAAATCTTATAAAAGAAAATATCAGGCAAAAATTGTGATGACGAAAAACAGGTCAATGACAGTAGAGTACAGAGGAGAAGAGTTTGGCTCTTATGGTGTTGCCGATATATTTTCAGAATGTAATATGTATCTCCATTTTTAATATATGTGCATATTTGTCCACAACTTTCGCCGTTTTTTAAACAGTTTATTATCTTATATTTTTTAAATTTTGCTGAAATTTTGGCGTCACGTATTTTGAAAAATCAATACTTCAATTATATATAAATATAATGGAAATTTTGGAACGAGGTTTTCCCCATTGTTTTCAGCTTTCAAAACTTTAGAAATCGTACCAGATCTATTTTCGACTTTATTTGTTGGAACTGAAATGTAGTAAAAATAAACGTTTAGCAGCCTAAGACACAAGCTTTTTTGAGTGTGTATCATCTCTAACAAAAAACGTTGACGATATATCTGGTACGATTTCTGTGGTTTTGTAAGCTAAAAAAAATGTTGACAACCATATTCCAAAATTTCCTTAAATAATTGAGATATTGATTTTTAAAAATACGTTATGAAAAAATTTCACTAAAATTTAAAAAAAGTATAATCACATACTGTTTTTAATAAAACTTACAATTAAAATTTCACAACCATAAGTCTGTTAATAGTGAATATATTACATTCTGACAATGAAAAGAAAATTTCATGTAGAAAACATAGCGACTGACCTTAAGAAGGCTTCCGACAAACAGAAGGCTGTGTGGGAAGTAAAAAGCAAGGCAAAACAGTCTTTTCATAAAAATTTAGACATGGACATCTTTAATAATTACTTTTCCTTCTCCTCTGAAAATACAATCAAGTCTATAGATATTTCAGATATTGATAATCCTATGAGTTTTTTGCGTCTGGAAAAAATGTACGGTTTTAAGTTTAAAGAAAGCTCTTTTGTTGAAGTTAGCTAATTAACATAATTAAGATTTTAATAAATGACGGGATTAGAGTTGGCCATGGGAATATTAAATTGCTGTCAATTACAACTCAAATCTATTGTTGGAATAATTAAACACGGGGTAAGGCAGGGATCCGTTTTAGCATTAATACATTTTCTTATAGTATATGCAAATCATATGTCCCAATCTTTAACGGACATAATTCTTTTTATCAATGCCATCTCAATTGTTGGAAAAAGTAGCAATGAAACTGTATAAAACTGAAAGCGTGAACTGATGCTGATAAGCTTTGTATAAATAATAAAAAAAAAACACAAATTATGAAATTCTCATTAGCGTTAAACTTCTAAAGGCGTATATGGATTTAAAAATAACATGGGAATGCATAAAAAACAAAAAAATTTGAAAAAATATATACATAATTCGCCAAATAATGGACATAACGTCAGTCTAAATTTACTTTAAATTAAACTTCCATGTTTTTATTCATCAAAATTTCCATAAACACTGAAATAATTTTATTTATTACAAATGGGAGTTCCAAAACACTTGTAAAGCCTGATGTACACGGAAAAGTTTTCTTTCAAGTCTCTCCAAACTTTGTCAGCTTATGTTCTTCTATCTCATGCAAACAAGAAAGAAAGCTTCACTTGTGAACTTTCATTTCTAAGAACAAACTTTACAAGTTTGTTGAAAACATGCTCTAAAAACTTAAAAGCTAGTCACAGCAGTGCTGCCAACAAAATTTTAGAAAACTTGTGAAGTTGTTAAGTAAAACTTGCTCACACTGGGTTTTGGGCATAATTTGACTAAATGAATCTTCATTATGAATGATGTATTTAATTTATCACATTTTTAATCAAGCAAGCAATCAATTTTGAATGTGGTGGTGCTATCATTAAAAATGTTTATCAACTCCTTTTGAATAACAGATTAATTTTAGGAACGTTTTTGTTCAATAATGCTTTTATTATTCACGACGGTGACTAATATTCCTTCATTCACGGTTTGTAACCAAGAGAAAACAACATTGCATTATTTTAGTGCAAATTTCTTCGTCACAAATAGTCGTCATCGTTATTCCAGCTAGTCCACATTTCAAAGAATGCTAGCTAACAAGGACATCAGTCGACTAAAATTATTATGGTTGAACTTTATTTTCATTAAATTGTTATTCTTCTTGAAAGATATTGGGTGTTTGTAAAAAACTATAACACTATAATTTCTTGTTCATAACGTTTTACTATATCGTCATTTTGTGAGACATCCTGTATAAATATTTCTCAAAAAACTTATGTTGTCTTATGTATAAGTTTGCTGTCTGTTGATTTATGTTAATAACAGAATAAATATCGCCCGTGACTGACACCACAGTAATTATTTAATGGCCATTAATTACCCGAGGGTCATCAAAAGATTAAATTTAATACAACTGTCCTCTCAATATAAGGAGTGAGTCGTCTGTGTGCTGGTATACGAGAAATTACATTAAAACACACTAACTTTAGAAAGCTTTTGGTTGCCAGCGAAACTTAGCCTCATTTGCCATTTATCAATTCAGAGTATTTTCTGAGGTAATTGCGGTATTGGTGGATTATTAAATTAAATTAGACCACACTTTTTCCACAATAAGTCCTCAAGCGTTCATTATAATTATATTACACAAATCGTTTTCTTTATAAAAAAATGATAATTTGTTACTTTTCCACTTCAACTAGTTACTTGAAACGTGAAAGTTGGGAAACCAGAACAGACGCTGAAGAAAAGTTATGTGGGTAAAAATAGAACCTATTGTGTTGTTTTGCCATACGTATTTCTTACTAATTTACTTACTTTTCGTGTCCAACATAAAAACAATTTTGTCTAAATCCGTTTAGAAATATCAGCTTTTTGTTTGTTTGCATGAATATCAAACCTTTATCATAGTCATTAATTTTTCAGTACTAGAAATGTTATAAATGCATGCAATGATATAATCATAAACATTGTTTTTTTTCCTGCAAATGTTGAAACTGAACGGAATAGAAAAAACACATTTATTTTGCAACTAATGACATAAATATCTCCCGTATCAGCTAAAACAATAAAATTTAACTTCATGATGACAAAATAAGACCGGTTTTTCACGAACGAATTTCCAGCCACAAATCCCGGACTTCAATACCACCCGGAAAGGAACTTTTTAACCACGAAAATACAGTTGTTTACTTCGCTCCGTAAATCAGGGTGACGGCAATGGATGTAATAATCTGTTGTCATTCATCTTCATCATTGGACGCTCAACAATACCAGTAAGCAATTTTTCATTTTTTCAGTCTGGCTGGGATGTCTCGTAGTGTCACAGTGGCAGTGGCTTACATCATGTCCGTAACTAACCTCAACTGGAAGGAAGCACTTAAAGTTGTCAGAGCTGGAAGGGCAGTGGCCAACCCCAACTTGGGCTTCCAGAAGCAGTTGCAAGATTTCGAAGCCACTCGTGTAGCGAAGGTAATTAGCTCATTTAGTTCAGTGGTTCCCAAACTTTTTTAATTTCCTTTCACTTTTTACTTCATATTTCTGTGTTTGTTACCTGCGTATGGAAGTGGACATATTTAGTTAGTGCTTGTGAAAACCAGTATTTGGCAAAATTTGCCGATTAAAACTTTACTGAGCAGGGATTAGTTCAGCACATCCGAGACGTGATTGATAGATTTGTAACAACTGGAAATGCGCATAAAGACAAATCACCAGGACGTCCCTCAATCAGTTCAGGATGTATAAAATAGATTAGTACAAAGTTCTAATAAATCAATAAGAAAGCTTCTCGTTGCAAGCTAATGTTCCACCAAGAACGTGTCATAAAATTGCAAAGAAAATATTGCATTTGTATCCACGTATTGTCACAATTTTTTGGTAACCGGATCATCAGTAAAGCTTTACAACCTGCACGATCTCCTGATTTAAAGTCACTTGATTCTTTTAAGTTTTTAAACGAATTAATTAAGACGGGTTAGGTCACGACTGCCACTTTGGAAACCGCTGATTTAGTTGAAAACGTTTGTATTAATATGACCGATTATTTGCTTTTAATTAAGTTTCCAACAGAGTTAACCCCGGCTGTTCTGAGAACCATTGACCACAAGTACTAAGATAAACTCCGTTTGCAAGTTTCGGTTGCAAATTTAGTGGAATGTGGTTTTGAGAGCGAAGTTTTAGCAAGTTTTAATGGTCTCGTGGGAAACAAAATCTTTTCACTTTTTATTTATGATTGGCTTGCAGTTTATAATGCATAAAATCGGTTATTCGAACAACATAATACAATATGCATTGGATAAAGCTGTCACTAGTTGAAATTTCTAGCACGACCAATTTAGATCAGTTGCAATTTTAAGGCCGTAGTGTAATAGAAACGTAGCACATAAGAAAACTCCAACAAGGGAAAGGCTCTGGCGGTTATTTCGCTGTGTTGTTTTACAAAGAAAAGTTTCTTTTGGTATGAAAGTTTACACCACCCCATCAACTTTACTTACCGGAGCTTGGAAGTTAGATGTGTTATATATTTCAAAAGTTGTATAAATTTATAAGAAAGTTTCAACATTTCACTTAATGCAACTTACAATTATTTCTGTTTTTAGTACGATCCTACTATTTCAAAGTCACTATTCTTTACTTCTATGTAAGGATCATTATAAGTAAAGTTTAAAAAAACTATAGTCATTTACGGATAAAGTGTGCTTAAAATTCGAAGTTGTATAAGCAGAGGACTTAGTGGTCGCGCATTTCTCGTATTCTTGGAAGCGTTACGAAAGGAACTTCGGTCACAAAGTTCATAAATTAACTTAAAGTAGTGCAAAATCCTCGAGAAATAATTAGGTGGTAAAGAATACTGGTATACCAGAGTTTGCTAAATCCTGAGTAAACAAAATTTTCAACTAAACTAAACATAATTTAGTATAATAAACTATAGATATATCCTTAATGCGGTTAATACGCTGCCGATTAATGGACAACATACATCAACTTAATAGATGTTGTTACATGTGTACAGCTAGTTACGTAATTACAATACTTAAAATCTAATCAATATGTTAATTCAATTTTGAGTATCTGTTGAATTGTTGGCTAATAGTTTGGCTCCAATAGAATGCTGAAAACTAGAACAAACATGAAAAATTAAATTAAAATTGCTATAAAAAAAATGTCAACAAGGATGGGGTCCTTAACCCAAATATCAGCTACGCGTACAAAAATGTGTGTAAAATAATAGCGATAAAAATTAAGGTAGACTCATAAACCATAAATATAGGAGTCGGCTTTGTTATAAAGTGTAAATATGAGCTACCACGCTCAAGAAGTAAAAATCATCCACTTACGAGTTATAATAAAGACAGTATTGTCTATGGTTTTCACAAACATTGATTTAAATTTAAAATGACTATACTTAACCGTCTGAATTTTTTATGAAGTTACAGCAATAGCGTTCTTGAATCGATCCAATATTCGATTAAGTCTGTCTATAGTTACGATTTCTGATACGAAACACATTTGTACGTGGTTGGATAATTGTTAATCTCAAGGAAGTAGTACAATCGGGTCCATCGAGCGACTTGCTGCTTTCATATTTTCTCGACGTTTCATGAGAGTACGAAAAAAATCGCTGTGTCAATTTTTATTAGATAGATAATCTTCGAAACTACTAGACCGATTATCATGTCAAAAGATTCTATATTAAACTGATTTATATGTTATACAATTGTTATGTTATACTTCTACAATTGTGGTTCACGACTCCGGGTTGCGTTTTTCACCTAGACACCCAATTTTGTCAAAAAGATCCAAGATGTACATATGAGTCTTGAGTTTTCTAACCCCAAGTATGATACGAATTCAGAAAAACAAGCTCTAAAAGATTTCTAAAAGATGTATAGTGTCATTAAAATTAGATGTCGCAGACAAACACAGGAAAAATATAGGTTGTCAAAACACATCATTGTTACTGGTATTATTTTCCATATTTGTTTTAATGTATGTAGAGGTTAGCACAAGTTATCTTAACTTGAAATGATTTAATTTTCCGCATGCCTAAGTTCATAATGGCTAAATACATAATCAAAGCTTCAAACAAACCCTGTAATTATTTCAACATCAAAGTACATGATTTCAGTTAGGATTGTTTCACTGGGACCTTAGAGAACCAATTTATTGAATTATATGGCTATAATAAGAGTATGAGGAAACAGTATTGGCTGTTCGGTTTACATCACAGGGAATTAATTATTGAGTTGATTGCCCCTTGAACTGTGACTTCGATATACAGGGTGCCGCATCCAAGTCTGGATATAGGGAATTAACATGAGAATTGGTTTTTATTTTATAATATCTCCCCAGATCACTTTAAAGCTATTATTGAGTGATGCCTTTGTGGAGGTCAAAAAGGGCTATCGGCCAGTATTTTTTTCAAATTGTTGCATCGCGTTCATTCACTGTAAAAAGGTTTTAAAAATCGTATTTTGAAATTCGCGCCCGATCCGATTTGTCGCGAAGTGCTCCGTCCCACTGTCGAAGTTCGGCGATCGCGTGTTTGAATTAATCATGCAAAATCCAAACGTCAAAGTGAAATTAGAAATTATTCTCAGAAATCAACGAACTCAAGCTGAATTATTTTATCCAGTGTGATGATTATTGTAAGTCAATTTAAACGGAATAAATGCACAAACTGAACAAAATATTTTATTAGGTTATGCTATGTTCTACTGCGATTAGACGAAAAAGCGAGGGCCTGCTTGTTCTTCAACGGTTAATTTAATTAGTAGGTAATTTGGGTAAATTTCACACTTTTTTTTCGAATCACTAAAGATTGGAAGTCAATTGATTTTACGTTCGTTAAGCAGGGATGGAATTTTGCCACCTGGAAGCATGTTTGTTACAAGAAATTTTTGAGAGAGAAATGTAGAACATTGATTCATTAACATTTTAAAGTATTTTTCTCTATTACGAATGTGTTTTGGGATTCAGAAACTTTTGTATTACTGTTTTATTTGTTTATTTTGTTAACAACAACAAAAATTAAAATAATATTTCACAAAACAAAGTTACATTTATTTTCAAAGGTGATAAAAAGTAAATAAAATCAGGTGGGCACAACGTTTTCTAGGGATCTTAGAGAGATGGGATAGAAGTTTCAAAAAGCATCATGACAAAAAATTGAAGCCTGAGGACTACTTCTCACGTATGGAGTTTTACGAAGAAACGCTTGAGAGAATCTAGGCTGATGGAGAGTTTTTCAGGAACATTTGTTTTACTGACGAATGTTCATTAAGTCTTAAGGGAAGTTATAATCGTCAGAACGATCAAATTTAAGCATTACACAACTCTCACGTGGTCCATGAGTATCGTTATCAATGGCGTACAACTGTCAGTGTATGACTGGGGCTTCTAGGACATCATGTCATTGCACTTTTTTTCATCGAATCCGGAATGAATGCTCAGAAGTAGGACAATATGCTAGCTCAGCAAATACTTCCTGAGACTCGAAGGGTGCGGCATCTGCAGCAGGTCTTTTACATCAGGGACCAAATCTCCAGCCATATAGCTCTCATAAATGTTGTCTATTTGGACCAGTATTTTCCCGCAATGTTGGAATGAAAAATTTGCACCGCCCCATTGGCCTGTGCATTCGCAGGATCTAAATTTTTTCTTTGGAGATTTCTTCACGACCATCTGTATTCAAACAATACCAGCTATACAAACAGAGAACGCTGAAACAAGCAATCCAGCAATATTGTCTTCAGATTGCAACTCAAATGCTGATCGACACGCGTAGGAGTTTTGAAGATCGGCTTACTTACTGTACAGCTGCTGAGAGCAGTCTTTTTGAGCAATTCTTGAAAATAGTGCAATACTTCTCCAGATTCGTACAATATTTCATTACTTTATTCATCAACAATTCAAGTTTTGTTCTTTGTAGTTATCTAAATGGTTCATTAAAAGGTCCTCTTCAAAAGCGCCAGCTGTTTTGATGGTAAATCTTATCATCACACAATAAGAAAAGCGGGCCCTCGCATTTTCATCTAATCGCAGTAGAACATGACATTTTAATGAGATTTTAGTAATAAAGACTCGATCAGCACCAGCAGCATAACCTAATAAAATATTTTGTGCAGTTTGTGCATCTATTCCGTTTAAATGGACCTACAATAATCGTCATATTGGATAAAATAATTCAATTTGAGTCGTTCAGTGATTAACTGAGTGAGGCAGCGCGAGTACATTCCTAGCTTGAGGGCTCCCGGTACATGTCAAAATGCTGCCGATGGGGTTTTGAGGAAGACCAGCTGCTCGAAGTCTTCATCTCGGGCTTTTTGGATACGGTCTGAGCGTAGTTCCGAGATGGCTCGTTTAACGGGGTCGCGCACTACGACGAATGAATGGATCAATTTGTGCATTTATTCCGTTTAATTTGTCCTACAATAATCATCATACTGGATAAAATAATCCAGTTTGAGTTG